TTATGTATGTTGAACCAACCTTGCATCATGGAAATGCAGACTACTTGATCACATTGGATAGGCTCTTTGATGTGCTGCTGGATTCTGTTTGCCTGTATTTTGTTGAGGATTTTTGCATTGATGTTTAGCAAGGATATTGATCTGAAGTTTTATTTTCTGTTGTATCTCTGCCAAGTTTTGGTACGAGGAAGATACTGGCCAGAAGATACTGGCCTCATAGAATGAGTTAGGGAGGACCCCTTCCTTTTCAATTTTTTGGAATAGTTTTAGTAGACATGGTACCAGCTTTTCTTAGTACATCTGGTAGAATTCAGCTGTGAATCCATCTTGTCCTGGGCTTTATTTTTATTGGAAGGCTATTTATTATTGCCTCAATTTCAGAACTTGTTATTGGTCTGTTAAAGGATTCAATTTCTTCCTGGTTCAGTCTTGGGAGGGTGTATGTGTCCAGGAATTTATCAAGTTATTCTAGATTTTCTAATTTATGTGAATAGAGGTGTTTGTAGTATTCTCTGATTGTTGCTTCTATTTCTTTGGGGTAATATTCCCTTATCATTTCTGACTGTGTTATTTGAATCTTCTCTTTTCTTCTTTATTATTCTAGCTAGCAGTCTATCTATTTTATCACTGTAAAAAATAAATCAGCTCCTGGATTTATTGAGCTTTTCAATGGTTCTTCATGTCTCTCTAGCTCAGCTCTGATCTTAGTTATTTCTCATCCTCTGCTAGCTTTGGGATTTGTTTGCTCTTGGTTTTCTCATTCCTTTAGTTGTGTTGCTAGTTGATGACTTGAGTTCTTTCTAGCTTTTTGAGATGGGCGTTTAGTGCTAAATATTTTCCTTTTAACATTGCCTTAGCTGTGTCCCAGAAATCCTGCCACATTATATCTTTGTTCTCATTAGTTTCAAGAAACTTCTTGATGTCTGCCTTAACTTCGTTATTTACCCAAAGGTTATTCAGGAGAAGGTTATTCAATTTCCATGTAATTGTATGACTTTGAGTGAATCTGTTAATCTTGAGTTCTAATTTGATTGTGCTGTGGTCTGAGTGAATGTATGATATGAGTTTTTTTGCAGTTGCTGAGGAGTGTTTTACTTCCAATTATGTAATCAATTTTAGAGTAAGTGCCATGTGATGATGAGAAAAATATATATTCTGTTGTGTTGGAGTGCAGAGCTCTGTAGATATCTACCAGGTCCATTCAATCCAGAGCTGATTTCAGGTCCTGACTATCTTTGTTAACTTTTTGTCTTGATGATCTGTCTAATATTGACAGTGGGGTTTTAAAGTCTTCCATGATTATTGTGTGGGAGTCTAAGTCTCTTTCAAGGTCTCTAAGAACTTGGTTTATGAATCTGGGTGCTCCTGTTTTGGGTGCATATATATTTAGGATAGTTCAGCTAACCTTGTTGAATTGAACCTTTTGCCATTATGTAATGCCTTTCTTTGTCTTTTTTAATCTTTGTTGGTTTAAAGTCTGTTTTGCCAGAAACTAGGATGGCAACCCTGCTTTTTTCTGATGTCCATTTGCTTGGTAAATTTTCCTCCATCCCTTTATTTTGAGCCTCTGTGTGTTACTGCATGTGAGATGGGTCTCTTGAAGATAGCATATCGATAGGTCATAGTTCTTTATTCAGCTTGCCATTCTGGTCTTTTAATTGAGGCACTTAGCCCATTTACATTTAAGGTTAGTATTGTTATGTGTGGATTTGATCCTGCTATTGTGATGCTTGCTAATTATTTTGCAGACTTGTTTATGTGGTTACTTTATAGTGTTGCTGGACTGTACTTCATTGTGTTTTTGTTGTGGCTGGTTTTTCCTTTCTGTATTTAGTGCTTCCTTCAAGATCTCTTATAAGGCAGGTCTGGGAGTAATGAATTCCTTCAGCATTTACTTGTTTGAAAAAGACCTTATTTCTCCTTTTCTTATGAAGCTTAGTTTGAATGGATATGAAATTCTGGTTTGGAATCTCTTTTCTTTAATAACGTTGAATACTGGCCCCCAATGTCTTGTGACTTATAAGGTTTCTGCTAAAAGTTTCTCGTTAGTCTGATGGGCTTCCCTTTGTAGTTGATCTGGCCCTTCTCTCTGACTGCCATTAACACACGGTTACACACACATCACCTCTCTATACACACACACATATGTTCACACACAAGCCCCCCTGCACACACTAGACTATACTGCCCCTCTGCCGATGTATATCTAGGAGAATGTCCCCAAGGATCCCACACGGTATGAGATTCATGAATCCAGTGCAATATCACAGCCAGTCAGCCAGCCACCAGCACTGACACTAGATGTAATCTTGTACTTACTAGTGCTACCACTCCTTCATAATAAAAGAGCAAATTGAAGCAGTTTTCAAATAGTGTGGGAGACCAAAGGGAAATCTCTTCTGCTTCCAGTAAGCACAGAAGGCTATTAATGAGCTGCGGATCGCCCCCCTACTACACAGTGCACTTAGCCACTTCCTCCTTCCTGTGCTCACACAAGCTGTGATTATGTTCTAAAGCTGCAGTTTGAAAAATGACTTTGGTTTTGAGAATTTATGGGCTATAGATATTTATGTATTTTATTTCTGCTTGCCATGGGGAGTTGAGTATCTGCTATTGACATAAAGTTTATAAAGCACTTTGAGCTTCTGAGAAGAGAGATGATTACCAAGAAGGGTAAGAACATTAGAGAAGAGTAAGATGGAAGTATTGACCTATTTTTCTATTCATTTTATTTTTTTGCATTATAATAATGTGACCTTTAGAAATTCTAGGTGCAATGGGGACATAGACCACATGAAGAGATGGTAGTGGACTTATAAGGAAAAGTAGTAGGCAATTTCATCACATGAATTCATAATATATAAGTACAACTCTTTGGGTCATAGAAACTTCAATTTCAATTCTTGCTCTGCCACCTGCAATGTGTCACCCACTATTCTATGAACTTTACAACAATCAATTAATCTTTATAACAATTGTAGGAGATGGAGTCAGTACTGTCAATATCTTCATTTTAAAGGTGAGTGAACAGAGGTACAGAGAATTTGGTACCATGACCAAGGTTACATGGTCCATGAGTAGAGCCAAAATTAGCTGAAAAAAGTATTCAGGTTCTCCTAGCAGTAGTAATGATAGCTATTATCAATTAAGTATAAGTGTTTTCCCCCTAGAATATCCGATAATGTCTTATGTACAAAGTACATAATAAGAGCTAAAAAATATTAGTTTTTAAAATTTAAAGCATAAAGTACACCACTTAAAAACATGTAGTAGGATGTTTAGAAGTAAATCTTTTATTTATAGCATATGACTGTTTCTTTGTAACATTTAATTGATTCATTATTCAGCAGAATAAAGTATATAAATTAGGTGAGAAGCTAATATTTCTCACCTTATTTGCTTGTGGTAGTCATTTGATCCATTTTTAGCATCAATTTAGATTGAATATCTGCTACATTATCTGCCATTATATTCTGCTTTAGGACACAGCTGATTCAAAAATAAAAAGAGGAAAATAAAAAGAAGACCAACCTATCCCAAGCATCATTAGCTAATGAGTCATTTTGATATGCAGCTGATAAAAATGAGTTTTCGAAGAAACATAATGGAAGGACATTAAGTATACATGCATTTCAAGTACCATAGGTGGTCCTGATAAATTATTCTAAAATAATTTAGAACAGGAGAAATGAACACAAGCTGTAAAATAACACATTTTTAGTCAGAATGGCTACAGAGAAGAACAAACAGTTCATGTCCCCAAACACTTCTGAATTTCATTTTACCTTACAGAGCACACTTGGTTGAGAGTATATACTGCACGAACAGGATTGCTCTATAATAACTTGATGATTTTGCTGAATTCAGCTTCTAGGATTGAATCTGGACATCAAGCCCAGTCAGAGTATAAATATATCATCACTGCTAGCATTCAGAGCAGTTGGAAGAAGAGGTCCCAGAATCAAGAAAAATAAATGAAACTGAGATCAAGAGAAAAAGGTGAGATCCAAATAGAACTTGTTCACATAACATGGGGCAAAAAAAAAAAAGTGAACTGAATGGTTTATTTTCACATGAAAATAAAGAAGAAAAATAATGTAACATTCCAAGTGGCAAAGTCCAGCCATTTTGTAAGTGAGATAAATAGTTATATCTCTGTAGATAGACAGATAAATAGATATTAAAAACACAGTAACATGCAAATATATGACCTTTGCTGGGGATGAAAAATATTTACTATAGTAGTTTTTTAAATATTTCACTTTTTTCACCATCAATGAATATTTTCATAGCACACATGGTTTTTCAAATTTTAAATATATTATAATTAAACCTTGAAATATAACTTCCTGGTCCCTTCTCATTATGTGTTTGTATCACTATAAAATAAATTATTTTTTGTTTATATTATACTTTTAAGGATAAATCACTTTAAAAATAATATTTTAAATTTTATTTCTTATAAAAAAAAATCTCTGCTAAAGAGTTTTATTCCTCCTCTTTTTGTTTTCTGAATAGTTAGCCAAATGAAATTGAGTGGGATAAAGCTGAAAGAACATTTTCTGAAATGAACTTGAGTCACTGTTAGTAAATACACAACAATGCAGTTCAGCATTATAGATAATGTATACAATATCATACTACATAGTCAAATGTGATAAAGCAAAATTAATGACCATGTGAGGCAACTGAGTTTCATTTAATCTCTTTCTTCATAACATTATTTGGTATACGCACACACACACAAACGCATACATACACACACACATATAGCAAGTGAATTTACAGTATAAATCAATTATGTTATTGAGTGTACATCCTCCTCCCTTTGTGACATTCTAATGTATCACAGTATCAGGAAAATGCACCCTAGAGAAAACACTGCTATTCTTCACAGAAAATCCATGAATAACATTATGCAAAAATTAATTTATGATAAATGATTTAAATATAGAACTGAGAATAGCTTATTTAAATGCCATCAGAAAAGAACACCTCACCCGCAAAAAGGAGTCTAGGGATCCATTCTCCATATATTCCACCACAATCATTACTGGTCTGCCTGCAAAAGAGCAAGAGCACACACATGGATTAGTGCAATTACAGGAATATGTGCCGCAGTTAAGAGATACCCAGCTGCGGCAACTAAATTATTTGTATTTTATTAATAGGAATTTCATTTTCCAACCTGCTTCTATAAAAGTGTTCATATTATACATAGTCATCTCTATATTTCTTAATAGCATTATTTCCTTTTGAGTTCATAAAAGGGACAAGAATTACAATATAAATTACAAAGGAAATAGGTACTTCTTTTCCTAAAGCCCTGCAATCACTTGTTCAGATTATGTTCTTTTTGTCCTCTAGTTCTTCCTTACAAAACAACAAGCTCAAGCCAGGATTTCAGCAGCGATCATAGCTGCTTCTGCAGCTGTAGCACAACTTCTAAGGCAGTGTGGCAATTTTAGCTGACTTATATTAGAGTGAGCATTTCTGAAGTATTCCTAAGGCAAAGCAGACAGGAGAAACTCATAAATTCTCTTTAAGAAATGATAGACCATGGGTCATAGTCTGATTTTGAGAGCCTTTAAGCGGAAACATTTTAGATTGATGAACGCTACACAGCTTGTAGGATTTGTAGTAGTTCCTGATCACATGGAATTTGATCAACAGAGCAATGATGGCAGTACATGAAAAAGAAGTAACTCTGATTTTGTTGTGGCATAGAAGCTAAGATCAGAAACTAAACATAGTTTCTTTTTTTATCATATCAATTGTTACACTGTTTCAGTTCCCGATACACCTCCATTAGGTAGAATATTCGACATAAATAACTGATTTATTTCAAAGAAGATAATGCATTTGTTCCGCCCAATTGCCCAAGTTTAAAAGATAAACTCATTTTGGATGCAGGGGAAGTGATATTCACCTGAAATAAGCATGTCTGACATATTTAGTTTTTACTTCTGTATTTGTCACTTCTTATCAGAATTTTTAGCTTTTCAATCTGCACTATGCATAGTTTTTCCTTACAAACACAAAGAAGATTTGGAAAGAACTTATGTGTACCAATGATGGAAATATTATCTCATTGTAATTCATGTTCCTTTTATGAACTCAAAGCCTTGAGGGTTAGAAAGGGTGACTATTACGAATTAGTACCATGTATGCAAATGCTAGACTTTACATTTGAATCTATATTTTAAATAAAGATGTGCTAAAGGTTAAAGGTATTAATAAGGCTCCCAATTTATCATGCATAAAATTAGAACCCAAGGAAGTTTTCCATTTGTAGTGAATATTAACTTATATTCTGTAATGTTCCTCAAAGTCATTAATTTTACCCAAATCTGAATGAAGAACTTTATCGGCAATTATTGAGCTCAAATGAACTGTCAGCACTCTTGTGGACAGGGATCTAGAAGATTTAGGTTTAAACCTTAAAGTTCATCATGAAATCTTTCATTTGGCCATGAGTTTCAGGGAGCTTGGAGGTGGGAGACTGATGCAAACACTAAGGTAGCAAGTTGGGGAAAATAAAAGGTCATTTTTGTACTTAAATATAAAAATTCTGAGACCAATATTCCAGTTTGAATGATAATGTATTCTGAATGTTAACGGGAAAAGTTGGTTTATTACAATGACTGTCTGATGTCCCTGCCTGCAGACTCACAACTTTTTAATCTATCTTGACCATTGCTTTCAGAGGAACACTTTTAGTTTTTATTTTCTTTAACAAACATTTCTCCTTCCCTTAAGAATGCCAGCCTTATTAGAATAAAAAGAGTGTGCAAGCATTTCACTTGTATTGCTACATACCATCATTATTTTTCTTATGCAGATATGGAAATGGAGGGATAGAAAATTTAACTGCTTGTCCAAAGTCACATAGTTGGTAAGTGGCAGTGTCAAGCAATCTGTCTCAGAAATTTAGATCTTAACCTTTATGGTACAGGTGCCTTTCAGACAACATTTATAGATAAAAGCTCCATGTCAGCTCTACCAATTTGCATTGCTCTTATATTTACTTAATCCTGTCTCTTTCCTTTACTTGTGTAGTTACCTGCCAGGATAATCTCCCTATTCGCTGCGCTCTCTAGCCTCGCCATCTCTCCCCACTCCATTAGAATGTACATACGCACCCCTACCTTGAAAGTCTCTCACAGTGGTATTTCTCATAGTTGCATTTCCATCACATCTATTGTGTACACTATTAAATGTTGTGCCTGTTTTTATATTGTTTCTCTTTCTTATTTTCCCATAATGCTTTATATCCTCGTTCATGGGTTTCTCAAGGTCACTTGCCATAGAGGTAATCATAGCAGGTGCTTCATAAAAACAAGTTAACTTTTCTTGATTTGACAATTCTCAAGAAAGTAACTCTGGAGAATTTCAGCAAGATCTGATCTATGCGAATACACAGTACTTCAAAATTATTTCTCTCTATAACTCTTCGAGAGATACTTTAGGCAATCTTAAAATTCATCAGTGACAAGTTCTGTCTTCTCATTGAGAATAACAAAGAATCAAATGAAGACGTCCCTGGTTTCCTGTGAATTAGAAGTTTCACATTTGAGTTCTTAATCTTTTGTATTTTGTGTAGTAGCATCAATAAAGAACAGCTGTTAATTGAACTAAGGAATCTTTTTTTATTTCTTTTTACTACTGCTGGCATCTAACCTGTAATTTGTTTTGGTTTTTAATAGGGAAGAAGCTAGTTATACTGTGAAGATTATAAGCAACTTACAATCCATTATTACATTTTATAATTAAGATAAGTAAAAGGAAAATTATGAAAATTAGGATGTCAATCTTTCAATCTGTTTTAGGTGAGAGAAGTCTATTGACAACAGTATTTTTTGTCTTTTTCGATATATAAAAATTACATACTGTATTGCATTATAGCTCTTGGAAGGTATATTTGGAAGTAATTTATTATCTCTTTCTAAATTTTCAAAATATTACACTTTCTTTCCTTTTGTACAATTTTAGCCAGTTACCCCAAGTGCCTCATGTCACAGAACCATCTTAGTATTTGCATTGTACTAAAGTCAGTGGGCAAACCAGGCTTCTTGAATTAGTCAATTCTTGAAATCCCATCATTTTCAGAAGTTTCATGTGTTTGATTTACGAGATTTTCAAAGATACTTCTACAAGTCACACAAAGTGAATTTCTTAGGTTTTCCTTCATAAATATCCCAGAAATGGTTATGAATATTTCAAAGTGCATTGGATTGAAGATCCTCTAAGAAATCACTTATTGATATTCCGGAGACAATGGATTGCAAAAACCCCTTATCATCCTTTTCATAGACAAGGAAAATTATTTTCTTACATTAAGACTTTAAGGAAAAGTATCGACCAATATGTATTTTTCAAATGTTCCCTAATACTTATGATGGTTTTGATAAAGATGGTGTGGATAAGCTATATAATCATAAGACTGCACTTTTCTCACGCTGTTGTTAAAGAAAACAAAAGAATTCTTTAAGAGTTCCATAGATATCCCAGTTAAAGTATTTTGCCCGTGAAATCCATTATTTTTTTTTTTGTCTCAGAGAATATTTGTGAAAAAAGGGGCAACAGAGATTTAACATTTCCACATAAGTTACGAGTTTGTGCTGGATGTAGTATTTTCTATTAGTTTGGCAATTTCTAATGTGTAGACAGTAAAATGAAGAATCAAAACAAATCTCAATAACCTCAAACCTCTATTACAGATTTAAATCATTCCGTTTATTTAACATTCTATCAAGTCTATATTTTGTCTACCAGGTAATAAAATTTGTGATGATAACTTACATTGACAGTTACAGTGCCTGCATTTTATTTTTCCCCAGTTGCAATTCAGGAATCTTTGGACCAGTTATTTAATCTATTCCTACCTTCCCTGTTTCTGTTGTAGAGATAGTGATTTACAATTATAATCTCAAATGAATTTGATAATAAATGAAATACTCTTATCCCTCTAAGGCACTCAGAAGATATGAATGATGCCATTTGAACACAGTTATATTACATTAAATCAGTGTTTTTATTCACCCAAGTACAAATTAAAGAACTGTTTTCCTCTTGTAGTGTTACCTGATGACTACCAGATCATGTTCCAAATACATCTTATCCTCATTCAGTTCAAATCCAAACTTTTAACATTTCTCTTGAACTTTCTTTTCCTCTTATAATCCTGTGTTGGTTAAAATATCACCATCCATCTAGTTACCCAGGCTTGAAACCCTTTTGTGACATTGGACTTCTCACTTTATTAAACCCTTTCTAGTTCATGAGTTATGAAGTTCTGTGATTCTACGTAAAATCAGTTGCCACTGCCCATATTCTGCCTTTACTTTCTCTTGCTCAATCATATTTTGCTGGTTTCCTTGCTCCTATCTGGTACCCCATTATAAGCTAACTCTTGAAAAATAATCATTTTTGAACAGTTAGTGATGTAAAAAAATTTTTTTAAATGCCTACTAAATAGCAAGTACTCTTCTGGGTTCTGGAAACACATCGTCAATCAATATTGAGATCTCTGCTCTCATGGGTGTATAGTAAGAAGGGGACTATAAATAATTAAACAGTAAATTAGTATAAAGGGCTAATGCCTCATCCCCTCATTTTAAGACTGAATTGTTTATTGTAGAATTAAAGTCTAAATTGCTTGGTAATTAAGTTCATTTACAATCTCTTCTCTACCTTCATGTATAGCGTCATCTTTTACTTCACCCTATTCCCATATCTCCTGCTTTTCAACTAATTAAGGACGTGAAAGAAGTCTACAAAGAGAAACACAAAACACAGCTGAAATAAATCAGAAATGAAATAAATAAATGGAAAAACATTCCAAGCTCACGAATTGGAAGGACTGCTATCATTTATATAGCCATATTGCCCAAAGCAATTTACAGATTCAATGCTATTCCCACCAAATTAACAAACTAATTTTTCACAGAATTAGAAAAAAATATTCTAAAATTCATATGAAACCATAAAGAACCCAGATAGCCAAACCAATTGTAAGCAAAAAGAACAAAGCTGGAGGTATCACATTACCCAGTGACTTCA